TCCCCACACCGAGGATTTGATAAAATAACACCCAGGCCCCAAGAAGGAGGCAAGAACCAGTGACCACATCTGAAAGGGGAAAAAAAAAAAAATCCCAGCTCGCTGACTAGTTTGCTAAAATGGTAGCAGAGGCTAAGTCCACAGTCATCATTAATTAAGTCATATGCTTCAGCCTTGGCTTCGCTTTTTCCCCAGGGTCTCTGAAACCAGAGGAGAGGGCAAGCTAGCCTCTATCATTCGATTTCTTTGGCATGTTAATGCATTCCTAAATTAATCATCATCAAGTGACAATTTCTCCTTCATCTTAACAGACTGAGCAGTGGCCTCAGCAAACCCGCTGGCGTATGCAAGGCAGCTGGAGCAGGAGAACAGCCTCTGCCCAAGACCAAAGCACTTCCCGTAAGGAAAAACTCTCCCATCTCTTTCCGCCTATAACCCGAGCCAGCTGCACACCTGCCCTGCTTTATTTCTGCAACGAGGAACCAGGGGTCCTTTATGCCTGGAGGAAGTACAGCGAGAGGCCGAGCAGGGGCCTGCATCGCCCCTGGGGCCCTGCAAGGCAGACGGACGGCGCTGCCACTTGCTCTCGTCCCCGGTGCGCATGAAACGCACACGGAGCTCAGCAGAACTCGGGGACCCAGCAAGTTCAAAGGCCTTCCTAGCAGCTGCAGTCACTAAGAGCCACCCAGATAACAGCCACCTCCAGCAAATCCCATCGAGTCTCCCGAGGTGCAAATACCTGGGACTCTACAACTAGGGGACAAAGACATTCCCATAGTCACTACGCAAGGGACATTTGTCTCACTCGCTCCCTCTGCGAGGAAAGCTTGACTTTGGGGACAAGTTATGCATAAAAACTAATATTTAAATCCCTCCACTCATAGTGTCTGTCTAATGCCCTTCAAAACCTACATGCCTGTTTCTCTCACTAGCATCTCACCTAGGTAAAGATTACTAGTGTGCTACTGTTCCTTGATTCGTTCCTTTCTTAGTACGCAGACCATTTGAAACGGTTATTTTCTGGATGCTAAATACATGCTATTCCTACCTCCTTCCTTCCTTTCTTCCCGAGAGGTTAAATCGATTCCTGTATGCTTGGCACCCAAATCTCACTTTGGGGATAGTTATTTCTGCTGGGGAGGGAGAGATTCAAAGGCTATTTTAGAGATAGTTGCAATTTTGTTGCACAAAAAATACCTTAGTCGGGTTCCCTCATACACATTTAGGAGACTAAGTGATCACCTAGACGTGAAAAATAAGCACTTTACTGCCGTCAAACACAATTACCTGATATTTCAATCCAAGATTATAGCTACATCCAGGCATCAGTGAGTGTTTGCATTCAAAACAGATCCAAACACACCTACCTACTACTGAAATAGCTGCAGCAGAAAAAGCAGAAAATACTCCTTTTTTTCCAAGTTAAAATAAGAGTCTTTTGGATCAAAATGAATGTAGGGACTTCAGAGCACATTAAAAGGCACAAATGTAAATAGCTCCGTGCTTGCTTTAGACTCTCGCCAAGCCCTGCCAGCACCAGCCCATGTTTCCCCAGTTCCCACTGATGAAGTCACTGACACCTAATGCAGGAGAAGAAAGGCAGCTCCTTGCTCGGCTCGAGGTGTCGGCGACGTCAGCCCCGAGCACGGAAAAGCAGTCGTCAACACTCGGATCTCCACGGCGGAAAAGTTTCCAGGTCGCCTCTAGCACCGAAGAAGCAAAACAAAAGGATCATTCTGACCCGCAGCGGCAATTTTGGGTGGCTGCCACCAGCAGAGGGAAAGGAGCCCGCGCCGCGCTCCGAGGAGGTGCGGGATGTGTCAGCCTCAGCTGGAAGCGCGGGATTTAAGAGCCGCGCGGAGGGATCGCCCGGCACCCGCTGCCATCGGCGGGTTGACTTTGGAAAGCGCCGTTGGCTTCAGGTCCTCGCGAACGACGTCACCTTGGTGGCACCTTCCTACCAGGTAGTAACTTGCGCTCCCAAAGGACCTTCTATCCGAGCATCACGGCAGGGCTTTCAGCAATAAACTCAGATGTATCTCATGGCTGGCAGGGAAGCACGTCTTCATCTCAGCCATGGAAAAGAGCCCCAGAGGGTCTGATTTACACAATCCATAAGTGGCACAAGCTGGATTAGGGCAATGCCACCTGATGCGATGCTGGTCTCGGTTACAAGGATGTCAGTGTCAAAAGGACTGGGACATAAAGGAAAAGTGGCAGGAGGGACAGGGCAGGAGAAGAGCCTCCCTTGCTTGGGGGTAAAATTGGCACGAGAGTCCAAACAAACCTGGGGCTCTGCTGGAAAAGGCAGAGCCACCATCAAGGGACACCGAGCAAGACAGGCAACCAATCTATTTTCGGGTGATTTTTTCTTTCTTTGCACACTAAGAAATTGCTGGATGACGCTGCCAGCCAGCAGCTTTCGTGCGAGCTGCTGATGAGCCTGCGCTAAATCGGACGCGTAAGCAAAAGGGATTTCCTGCTCCTGGTGACACCCAGCTCAGCTTTCTGGGCTGCCATGCACACACTTTGACTTCCCAGCATTCGTAATCAACTCACTCTTGGCTTCTTTCAGGAGCACTCGGTGCTCCCAAGAGTCCAACAGCACCTACGTTCCCCCCTAAACAGATGTTCGTCACCAACCTCAGAGGATGCCAGATCTCTGCAGCTAAGCTTAAAGTCGGGAAGAGCATACATAAGTCAGGCTGGGAAAAAAGATTTACAAAAACACTGTTAAAAAAAGGACAATAAATTAGGGATTATAAACCTCTTGTGACACGGGAGCAGCAAAAAGCCAATGGGGTTAAATCTGCATGTGCCATGACACTGTGGCATCAAGAGAGGGAAATTTCTTGCCTGTCGGTCTCCTAAGAGTGTTCCTGGAGCACTCTACTCTTCTCCAAGAGCCTCTGCAGCCAAATGGTGTCAGCAAAGCAGGAAGGATTTATGGAGAGCAGAGCCAGCTGTGAGGTTTCTCTAAGGGAAGATTAAAGCTAGTTATCTACAGCTCACGTTCACGACTACAAGGAGCTGTCACAGCCATTTTGCCAGGGCCTAAAGAACGTGTCCACAGAGGAAGAGGAGAAATTGTCAGAACGCAAAGTGCTTGTTAGACATCAGGACACATTTTCCACCAGTGCAAATACAGACAGCAGATTAAGGAAGAGAATCTCCACTTAAAACCAAACTGGAAATCAATGGATGGCACAGAAAAACATCCCGTCCTTTCCTCTTCGCTTTCCCTATGCTTTCTCCCATACAAAGGCTAAACACTCCTGCAGGTTTTGCTCTATTCCAGGCCCAAAGCTCCCTCTGCTGCTCATATCCAACCTCTCCCACTTCCCGAGAGGGCAGCTTGAAGAGGGAAAGGACCTCATCAGAACCACTCTCTTGATCTCCAGTTTCCAGCCAACGCGTTTGCTAGAACGTGCCGGGTTTGGGAAGGTGAGAAGAGCACCACTCACTTATTCTGTCTCACAGGACAGTTTGTCCAACCATCAAGAGCTACTTGGGTCTTTGAGGAGCTTCTGATCAGCCCGTTCCTCCAGCCTGCCCAGGTTCCTCCAAATGACAGCGCTGCTGTGCATTGACTGCTCCTGAGCGTGGCACTCAAAACCTTGCTGGGGCCACTCCACCTTCCCCTCCAGGCTAAAGATATTAAATAGAAGTCCCAGAAAAGCCCCTGAGAAACCAGCCTGCAAGGAGATTATGAACCATTCATCGCTGCACCGTGAGCCCAGTGACCCAGGCAGTTTTTAACTCCAGCAGTCCACTGAGGAGCCACTTCACCCACTGTTTGCTCAAGGGCAGCCTCTAGCTGTGGCTCCTTCCTCATCTCCAGGCTCGGAGGTCCTGCCGCTCTCCTCCTCCTCTCTGATGGGAGGGCAGCCCCCTCCTTCCACAATTCCTTCTCTTGGCAACTCAACAAGGCTTTAGAGCCTCGACAAGAGCACGGATCCCACCGATGATCCACCCTGCTATCCAGCTCCAGGGAGAGACATCCCAGGTACCTCCGGACAGTGGCATCCTCCCTGCACATCCCCGCCTGGGTCAGGGCCTTTCCTATCAACAGGGCTAGCTGATCCAGCACCACAGGCCAGGCACGTCACCCTGCGGATTGTCACCACCACTGCTGCAGGTTTCAGTGGTCCCACACTCCTGAGTCCCCCTTGGCCCCTTCCCACTGCAGTGACTGCCAAGGCTCTTCAGGACACGCTGAAGGAGTTTTCCCTGCTCTTCAACAGCAACCCAATAGATACTTGACATTTCCTAATTTGGAGAATCCCAAGATAGGAATCTCACCTCCTGAAACAGAAAGATTGGCAAGGCCATACCTAGTGATAGCAAAAATTGCTGCCTGGCTGATCAAAACTTTGCAGAAATTCTTTCCATCTGGACCCCACAGATACAGGAGAAACAATCAGTGCTTTAGACATTACATCCAGATGAGATGTAAGCTCCCAAGTTTGCAAAAGAAGGATGCAAAATAGGAATACAGCGCTATGATGCTGTAGCTTCCAGTCTTCCACAGCTCGCCAGGCCAAAATAACATTTCACCAAAATATTCACCAAAATGATTTCACCAAATAATACCAATAACACAAGCTCCAGGGCTGTCCATGCTGCCAGAGAAGCAATGGCTGCCAAGTCCTTGCAGCAGGCTCCTAAGTTAGAGTTGATTTAATTAAATAGACATGAGTTCTAAACATCAATTTTACAAGATCAGTGAAAAGTTTGACAGTGTGTGAGAAACTAGTTTCAACCAGACTGTCTTAGTATGAGCAGGGTTGTCCATGGATTTGGTCTACACTAGTCCACAGCTCCTTTCCACCTTTATTGGGATGCATGCTCTTGATCTACAGGGCATCAGTGTCTTCTCTCTTTGCATTTGAACATTTTTTATTCAATGTCTTCTCCAGAGCATCACACAAAGTGAGAAATGCTACATTATCAGTTTGCTGGCTGATACCAGCTATTAAAGGGTTATCTGCAACACTCACCTGCTCGTTAAACTGCTCTTGTGACAAACAGTCAGTCACATCCACGCAGCCCAGGAGGCATCCTGAGGGATAGTCACTTGGAAACTCCACATCTGCATCAAAAGAAAAATATCTCACACGTGTGTTACATATGTAGCTGGGGTCCTCCAGCATTCAGGTGCCCTGAAATGCAATTTGCTGGTGTTTGTGCTTGGAGCATCTGACCAGCAAAAGCGCGGAGTCAAAATCTGTGTCCATTCAGCCGATGAAACGCAGAAAGGAAAAAGGGAATTGCAAGAACAGAGAGAAGGTTAAAAAGAGGAGCAGTAATAACTGCTCAGCAGAGAGGGCTTTCCGACAATGCTCATTATGTGGCTCAATGTACCAAATAATAGAAAGGCCCAAGGAGAGGAGTTCACCTTTGCGGAGCAGCATTCGGTAGGTGGCCTCCAGTTCAGAGATTTCCTGAGGGGAAGGTCGTTTAGCAGTCGCTGCTATCCACAACCTCCCTCTATGAGACGTGTACCAGGTCCTGCCCTCCACCCTGGAGAGAACAGAGGAGAATTTAGGACTTAAATCTCATCAGAAATCCTGCACGGACAGATTTCCAGTTGATAGTTTTTCCAATTCACTGGGTAATTTCTGTTACTAAGCTCTGCCTGAAGAAAGAACACGGTATATAAACTCGAGCTGCACGTCAGCACTGCAGAGAGAAGCCGAGATGGGCAAGAAATAATGCCACAAGCAAAGCATGTTCTCATTGCTCCAGAGCAACAGCGACCCACTGCAAATAGAACAGCATTTTGGACACGTGTGTAGGACGCTGGGCTGGGCTGAAGGACCTTCTTTTCAGAAACTGAATCCCAGGTCAGAGAGGGGCAAGTGGTAGAAAGGTTTTTTGTTTTTTTAACAGCCTGATGCTGCTGTTTATGGTACTCCTCTATCACAGACAAAAAGACCATCAGCTTACCCACCTTTGAAATTCCAGGAAGGTGTGCCCTGAATTAATTACAGAAACGCTTCAGCCTCTCTCTACAATTACCCACCATGTAGAATCTTGCACCTTCCAGGTTAGCTATTTTCATGGAAAAAAAAAAAAGACAACAACTACAAACAGGCTTCTCAAATGATCACTCCACTGCATGAGGATGTGCAGCTTCTTGCTTTTACACATCCTTCACAGTTCTTCCCCTCTCAAGAGAAGGAACATTTCAAATTCAAGTGCTAAGTAAGCCCAAGGAACAACAGTTGGCAAAAACTTGGAGCTGTCAGTAGGTATCAGTCACTGTGCAATGCCATGGAGTGCACAGAGGCCCTCCGAGAACACAGCTTCTCATCTCACCCCTCAAGCAAGAGCTGAGGAGCTGGTCAGGGTAAACCACAGTTCAGGTCAGTCCTTTACCTTTTGATTCCTCTTACGAGCAAGGAGGCCCAAGGCTGGTGTATGCTGAGGCACCACCCGTCATCTGAGATTTCCTGTAACTCTCGGTCCTGAATCCGCAACCTGCTCCTCTCCGCGCCAGACTCGCTCCCAGGCTCCGCGGAATGGGTGCCTTTCCTGTGTGGGAGCGAGCCCGTTTGGTCCACCCACTTCAGTGTGTTCAAAATAAGGAAGAAAAAGATTAGTCTTTCTTTCTAGTAGCAATGTAGATGAAATGCAAATCCCCTTCGAAGCTTTCCTTTGCTTAAGGACAAGGATACTGCTCTTATTGAGATCACTCTGCTCTCTCTCCTTTGCAAGCAGGATGCTGCACTCACAGCCCATTCCTCGGCAGGAGTAAAAGGGAGGTGGTGAATCGACTCTGCGCAACTCACTCAAGCACATTATGGTTAAAATGGAATCAGAGGACAGAACTTATGCCAAGTAGGAATAAGAAATCTGGCAGGAAGAAAAAGCCTCACAAGTAGAGCTGAAAAAGTGACACAGCCTTAGGCTGACTCAGAAATTTTTCCAGGTTTCTGAAAAGGAGGCAGGAGATGGAAATCCAAAGAGGCCAAACCTCCGAAGGGCAAGGAGCAGAGCAGGGCAAGCTTTCTCCGTCCCCAGCTCAGACAAGAGCTCTCCATGGAGATCTCCACGACTCCAGGGGAGGAAAGAGGCACTACAAACATGCTAGAAGTCCCAATTCCTCAGCCCAGCCCTTCCCAAGCTACTCATATTCTGGTCTAACTCACCAAAGGTGCAGGCTGAAGAAGACGGGGGTTCACTAAAACACCAGGACTCAGAGTCGTCTTGGCATCTGGGCTCCCAACTGGCTTGCCCAGCGTGCCATAGTTAATGGCTGCAATGGTTTCATCCAGCCTGCAAGCACAACAAAAGACTCGTGAAAATTCCCTGCTTCCCTCTGGCAACGTTTTCCTGCTCCATCCTCAAACAGTTCCAACCCAAACCATTTTTTTAACCACCTCCCCCAACTAGATGTTCTCTTTGCCCAGACCAATTTCTAATCTGAACAGTCACTCTGATCCACTACAGAAACTCAGCCTGCTTTGAGTTTGAAACAAATTGCTTCTGTTGATAGAGCTCTTCAGCAACATCTCATTACAGGGCAGCTTTATTTTTAACAGACACGTCAGCTAATGCAGCTCCAAACAAGTCTCACACAGCTGGGCTTAGGAGGGGCTCCCAGCAGGGCTGTGCTGGAAGAGATATGTTGCAACCCACAAAGACCTTCAGGGGAGAACAGCTTGCTCAGCTTTCCTTACGTTTGCTGTTCCCAGTGCAGCAGGCCCTCATCCACAAGGATTTCCACCTCCCTGCTCCCGGGCCTGCCTTTGTGCTGCCTGGGCTCCCTCACTTGCTGTGATACTCAGCCAGGCGGTTGTCCTCCTCCAGGATCTGCCTGCCAGCAAAGTCGATGGTGATTTTTCTGGCCAGGCGCGAGGCATGGCGCAGCTCCCGCAGCTCCTGCTCTCTCTTCTGGAGGGCTTCCCTTTCTTGCTTGGAAAGCCACTGGTTGGAGTCGGTCGCAAAGTAGTCCGATTCATCGTCAATGACCTGGGTTCGGCGCACGCTGGCCAGAAACAACCACAGTGGCAGGAGAGGGGCACAAAGGGACAGTCACACAGCCCTGTCTTGCCTCCCCGCCTCCTCCCCGTTCTCTCCAGGGACCAAGGCTAGCAGGGACACAAAGCAAGGACATGTGGAGTCTCCTTCTCTGGAGATCTCCCCAACCCGCCCGGATGCCACCCTGTGCCACGTGCTCTGGGTGTCCCTGCTGCAGCAGGGGGTTGGACTAGGTGATCTCTAGAGGTCCCTTCCAACCTCAACCATTCTGTGGTTCTGTGACATGCTGGACAACTGAGGACCACGCAGCAGCCTGACATGGATCCCAGCTGTTCCCACCTGGAATAGGGAGCGCATCCTATGCAGCCCATGGGTCCCAGCTTGGCATAGGTGCCTCCTCAGTGATTCTGCTCCCCTTCCACCATGCAGGGCTCTTCTCCAGTTTAGGACTGGAAAACACGACTCCAGGCTGCAGGAGCCATAGTCCACATACCTCCCTCTCACCACCACATTCTGACTCTTGCTGCAGTGCAAATGAAGGCCCAACTCCAATGTGGAATTTTCTGAAGCTACAGCCCAGCCCCGGCTCTACAAGGAACTCTGTAACATTTCATTTAAGGCACCTTTGCCTCCCGGATCACTTATATAACTAGTTAGTCTCAGCTAGTTCCTTACCTTGTCCTGTCAAATTCCAACAATTTGTCTTTGTGTTTCACAGCCATCTCCAGGCCTGCTTTGAGTCTAGCTTCTTGTCGAGGCAGTAAGTCCTTGTTTATAGCTTCCAAATTCCCTGAACTTTCAGCACCTGAGATGCAAAATAAAGCACAGCTCAATCTTAGGAGACAGGCCAGCCTTTAAAATCCCAGTCTGATGGGCCCAGCTGCAGAAATAATCTCCTGAAACAAATGACATTGATGAAGCAGGAGGAGGTATCTTGCACTAGAGTCGAAGCTTTAATGTCCCCACTTGCCACTGCCACAGATTCCTTCCCTCACGGATGAAGAGGTGACCACAGTGGCCACAACTAAGTAGCGTTCAGAGAAGTCCCTGCTCTTTGACTCACCTTCCCTCATAATTTGGTCTGTCCAGTGAGCCCATCCTCAACCTCGGGCTTTGCATCTCCTCCTAAAAACCAAATTATCCCCAAAACGTTGTTACTGCCACAGACAGACATTGAAGACCTCAAGGAGGGCACTCTCGGTCAGAGGGAATCACTGACAACTGGTGCTGATTCACAGAGCAAGTCCCCTATCTGCTGCTGTATGAGCTCCTTGCAAATAAAACCCTTCCACGACCCGTCGCAGCGAGTTTTCGAGACCAGCCATAGGGAGAGGCAGAGAGATCTACTCCCAGCAACAATCTCGGATTTCCTATCATGACAGAAAGGGGCAGGAAAAATAAAACTCAACCAAAAAAAAAAGAAAGGAAAAAAAAGTCTGCATCACAGCCCACAGTGGAACAAACCAACTTCTTTCACAGAAGACATCACACAGCCCAATGTTTTCAGTTAAACTCAGGGAAGCAAAAAAAGTCTGTATTGCTTTATTGCTACAGGTCCACAACATTTTTTCCGCTCCTGAGACAAGCAGCAATTTCAGCTTTCACCTATGCAAATAATGCAGAAAGCAAGACACAGCAGCAGGAAAGACCAGTAAAATGGGTAAGAAAATGGGATCCTGAAGTACATCAGGATCTCTGCTGAGATTACACACAGATTGACTCTGCAATCAGCTATTATGCTCAAGGACTTGCAAAACCTCCTGCACCTCGGCAGCTCTGCAGAAGCTGATGCTAAAACCTAGAGTAAATAGTCCCCTGGTTCTTCAGCAAAGTTTATCTTTCAACCAAGAACACTGTGACCTTGGATATATTTCAATTCAACTCAGACAAACAACCCCATAATGCACAGGTAGACTGGCTGTTATTTCCTTTTGCTTTCCTTGGCTCTGTCCCTATTTTTAGCTCCCAAGAGAAGTGTTAGACAAGAAGAATCATTAGGAAAATTAACAACACCTCTGTAGACCAAGCAAATCGGATAGCAGCACTTCATCTTCCGCAGCGCATATTCCACGTGGGACTTATCCTAATTTTCAGGGACTACTACTGTGGTCCAGTTCGCATGATTGATTCAGGAATGCTTCCTTGGGCCTTCTGGGTCCACAATTTATACACTGCTGTTTGACACGTGCAGTTATTACCTCCCCCGAATTCCAGGAATGCTGCCGAGTGCTCACTGAGAGGGTACAGCAAGGTGGCTTCCTAGCTGCCCTCTTAATACCCATCACAGACACCACACAAGAACAGCAGCAAACGGGTCAGTGAGCTCTGAAGCAAAGAGAGTTCACAGGCTGTCTTGGGAAGTTGCATGGCAGAGAAACGTTGAGGTGCCAGCTTCTTCCAAGGAATTTCTTTTAGGCTTTGCCAACAACTCTTTATAATTTGGGCAAACACATATAAAAACTTACAGACAAGAATATATAAAATATTCCTATAAAATATCAGGGCAAATCCCATGTGTAACAGTGAGAAAGAACAGGGCTCCTGCTGCTGTACAAGCACCTGGATTCGTTGTATTAACCGCATCCAGTTGCTACTAACCTGCCATGAGCTTCTTCAGCAACTTCTGGCTCTTGTTTGAGTCCCGCTGAAGAATGTCCTGCTCTTCTTTAGTGCATACCTAAGGAAACAGAAATGAAGGTTAGGAAGGACATGATGTGGTTGACCAACTTTGAGCCAGGTACAGCTTGGGCCAGTGCACACACTGCTACGTGACCTCAGTCGATGAGAACCCTGAGGGTCTTGCTCTTGGTTCATCGCTTGTAGCTAACCAGGTCTTTAAAAATAGCTACCAGTCTGATTTAAAATAGATTTTTCCACCCAACCATTTGATTTATTTCTCTCCTGAAGTTAATTTTACTGAACCTGTAAGTCACTGTCTTGTCCAGAGCACAAGTACAAACAACTTGAATTTTAAAAGAAAATCAATTTAGAGTTAAAAACTCTAATAACAAAAGCAGCCCAATTCAGCATCCTTCACTTGGAACACCGTTTCTGAAGAGCTCTATAACAGCTAGTGAACATCTGGATAAAGGATGATATCTTTGCCACAGACCCTATGGCTGAGAGCACCTATGATACATTGCACGATGCCTGTCTTTCCTCCTTCTTCCACAAAGTGCCCTTTCAACCAGGACATACCAGATATTTCAAGTATCAGCCAGCACCTTGGTCCTGGCAGAGCCCCCTCCCCTGGCACAGCCCACAGGAGAGCCACGGCCACGGCCATGCATCCCTCAAGCTCCAAAGGGATGCAAATGACGAAGGAAACCTCTCCTCTCCCTGCTGTGCCCCATCAGAGAGAAGCACAAAGCAGCTCAAAGCCACCTCAGCTCTCCTTTCCCCAGAGAGAGGTGGCACAGGCTCCTTCCTGCACAGCTTGGAGCAGTTCACCCCAGCAGCTTTGACATGAGACGAGAAGCAGAAAGGCCACCAGAGCCCCAAGCTGTGTGAAAGCAGCTCGGCACTAACCAGAGCACCGCAGAACAGGCAGGGTCCGGAGCCCTCCTGCTCGCAGACGATGCGCCCGCACACCAAGCAGTTGTTGATGAGCTTGTGCTTCTGGCCCAGGCACTCGCACGTGTGACGCCCGGGGATCAGGACGGCCAGCTTGTCTTGTCCCTCCTTCGTGTACAGGTTGACGTATTTGGCCTTCTTCTTAGAGGAGTTAGTGCTGCTGCTGGCTCCGCTGCCGCTCTCCTGCGCCTGCAAAGCAAAGCAAACCAGCTGCATCCACGTGACGCCAGCACCGAGCCTGGACGCGCGGGAGACACTCACGCCTTCACCCTCCTGCCTCACTGCTCCGAAACGCGGATCCAAAGCAAGACAACAGGATGGCCAGGAAGGAGCTAAGCAAGCTAAACAACACGAGGCCAAGGGGATGTTGCAGATACCCTTGGCCTGTTGGCTGCCTCTGTAAGATGGAGCTGTTTGGGTTTAGGTAGTAGCAGCGTGGTCTGTCCCCGGGACCTGTTTATCAGCTGATATTTAACAGCTTCAAAGAGCAGCCCAGCTGCTCCCACACTGACTCCCAAAGGCTACTCCCCACGTTCGGCAGAGGACAATGTATCTTAGGTGACGTTTGAGCTGAGGTGGAGAAACCTGATGGGGAGTGAAGCAAGACGTTTTGGGTGATGGCTGGATTCACCGTTTCTCTCTGCTGCAGAGACCTTGCATTTTGATCAAAGAAATACAGGGCTCCCTCTCACCCCAACATCTCCAGCAGGGATCAGCTGAAAATAAGCAGGACACACACCAGGAACAAGGCCATCTCCTAACACTAGATGAGACTGTTTTCCGCCATGCCCACAAAAAGCAGTGACTTATTACCCTTAGCTTTGCAGCAAGCATCACTCCAAAACTAATGTACTCTCCACCTTTTCCTTGTCAGATCTGTGACACACTTGAAAAACCCTCTGCAGCTCAAGGATGGCTTCTCATTGCCTCTCCTCCACGGAGACGCTCTCTCCTAGAGAACAGAAGAGGGTTTCCAAGAACCTCTTTCCCAGGAAACCTGCCTTGACTCACCACAGAAAAACAACTCGCTTCCTCTGGGCGCTCAAGGACCACTCCTTGCACCACTTGTACCTCCCACGTCATCCCACTTCGCTTTTCTTGGCGCCGGGGCTGCACGGCGGCCTCAGGACACCTCTGCTGCCTGCTGTTTTCAGCATCTTGGCTCACACTGTGTTTCCAACAGCACCAGGCTACTGGTTTAGCAACAAGCAGGTACAGCCTTCCCAGTTACCCCAGCTCTGTTCAACCTGGCTCTGATTTTATTAGTTACAAAATCCTCCATTTCAAACCGTAATTTCCACTGTTTATTCAGGTGCAAACACGACTTTTGAATTTAGCTGTGACTCAGAGACTCCATGTCTGAGTTGCACCTGGATGACAGCAGAACTTGGTCTCAGATGTGCAGCACGGTTGGATGTTGATAGCATGAAGGCCTCTGCCACAAGTCTAACCTAAATCAGGCACAAAGCACGATCACAAGCCTATTTTTGCAGAGCTCCTACACTCCAGACAGCAATTATCTGCTAAGCTCACTACAAACCAGACCACTGTTCTGCAGCTGGGCCAGGAGGTAAGCAAGGAGCCCGGGTTTTTTAATACACAGGGTCAAAACCTGACACAGGAGAAACAAAATCCAGAAATTTAGTCTAAGTTACTATGTTTAACAGCAGATTTCCTCATACTTGATGTGCTTATTGATTCACTGAGTTCTGCTGAACTGAAATCAAGACTACTAAAGAAGAAGACTACTAAAGAAGAGGCTTTAGTCAACTACAAATGAAAAGCATAAAGAAAGGCAACCAATGTTTGCTGCATGGCTAGGAAACAGCCAGATTTACCCTTTTTTAGTGTCTCTGTTCTCCTATTTTGCAGTTTCTTTCCTTGGAGTTGAAGCTATTTAGAGCTACTTCAAAATTTTCATTTACAGGGTTGAACAACATTGAAATCTCAACACTAAGGATTCAGAAGTGGAGCTGGACAGGGGAGGGGAACAGTCAAACCAGGCTGCCCAACCAAAGCTTTAGCCCAGTACAGGCGGACCAGCTACAGCTCCTCAGGTTCCTCTGCAGGTCCCTCTCGTTGCAGCCGGGCTCCTGCACAGGCTGCCGGCGACCTGTGACACCGCTGAGCTCTCATCCCTCCCAGCAGCTGCTGAAGGGCTGGCCCAGGTCATGGGTCCTGCTAAACGCCGCCTGTTAGCACAGAGAGCTCTGTTGCCAGCAAGACACATGGATCTCACAGAAGCAGTGCTGAAGAGTGGACGTAGGACACAGTTTGACTGGAAAGGTGTTTCTTAGATGCAGCGATGTAGCTGGAAAGCACAAACGTGCTTTCAGGTACACGATCGCTCCCATCAGGGCCCCAGTAATAAAAATTAGTATCTCTGAAAACTCAGTTCTGTTTCCAGGCACTTTTTTTGTGCTTGCTATCAGCTCTCCCTCCAACCCAGGCTCGTCATGTGTCCTGAAGACCCTCCAGCCCATAAAGTCACTTCACAGAATCACAGAATGGTTGAGGTTGGAAGGGACCTCTAGAGATCATCTAGTCCAATTCCCTCTGCTCCAGCAGGGACACCCAGAGCACGTGGCACAGGGTGGCATCCAGGCGGGTTGCGGAGATCTCCAGAGAAGGAGACTCCACAGCCTCTCTGGGCAGCCTGTGCCAGGGCTCTTGTCATAAGAAAGAAGTTCTTCCTCACATGGAGATGGGACTTCTTGTGTTTCAATTTGTACCCATTACCCCTTGTCCTGTCACTGGCCACCATCAAGAAGAGTTTGGCCCCATCTTCTTTACATATCTGTAAATGTTGATCAGATCCCTTCTCAATTCTCTCTTCTCCAGGCTAATCAGGCCCAGCTCGCTTAGTCTTTCCTCATACAATAGATGCTCCAGTCTCATAATGATCTTCCCTGCCATCACGTGCCAGATGCGCTCACCTTGGCCAGGTCAAGGGGGGTTTTGACTTCCTCCACGGGGACATTCGGCTCCACATACGCTGGCGTTTCCTGCTTGTTCCTTCCTTTGCGCTTACTCTTCTTTGACAGGTCTCCAGCCCGAGGCACTTCTGAAGGCTCTGCAAGAGCACATGGGCACAGGAAAAGTTTGGCAACTACCAGCAGGCGAGAGATGTCCTAGCCAGCAACCAAAAACTGGCTTTAGGCTCATAGTATATGGAAACAGGGCTGCACAGAGGTATTTTGGGGCCCTAAGGCTGCCTAGAAATGGGTCGATGGAGACAAGCGCGCTTGGTGCGTGAAGCCCTCCCCTCGGCACCGCTCACCGTCCTTCCGGCGACATGCCGGCCCAGGCGCGGGGGGCTGCTGAATGGCTCTGCGCCACCGGGCCAGCAGCTCCTCCACGAAGCGGCACTTCTCGCCGTCGGAGCCCTGGAGGAGGTCAGCGATGTATTCCCGGATCTCCTCCTCGCTCCTTATGGACAAGATGTACCTGCAGCAGGGCGGTCAGGGAGTTCAGGTGAGGTGGATGGGAGTTTAGGGGAGATGAGGAAGTTAGGGGAGATGGATGGGTGGAAGGACACCAGCGCTCCCAACCCTGCCCCCAACTCCGTGTTTCCCATTGGCGCCAGCCTGGGCACCATCAGCAGGGGTGACACAAGCCCTAGGGGGGGCGAGAGGACCTCAGGGGGCCCGAGGAGTCCCGAAGAGGGACCGAAGCAACCCGAGAGGCGCCGAATGCACGCCAGTGATGCCCGAAGAGACCCGAGCGCCACCGAAGAGAACCGAGGGGCGCCCGAACGCGCCCGAGGGGCCACGAAGGGAACCGAGCGACTGCCGAACCCACTCGAGGGGCTCCCGAACCTGCCCGAGCGGCGCCCGAACCCGCCCGAGCGGGGCCACCGGGGCCACCACAACCCCGGCAGGGGCAAGAGGGCCCCGCTGCACCCCG